CCCTCCTTTCCTCCCTCTCCCTCCCTCCCTCCTTTCCCCCCCCTCCCTCCCTCCCTCCTTTCCTCCCTGTCCCTCCCTCCCTCCCTCCCTCATCCCTCTCCCTTTCTCTCCCTCTCCCTCTCCCCTCTCTGCCTCTCCCTCTCCCTTCTCCCTTCTTCCTTCTCTCTCTCTCTCTCCTCTCTCTCTCGCTCTCTCTCTTCTCTCTCCTCTCTCTCTCTCTCTCTCTTCTCTCCTCTCTCCTCTCTCTCTCTCTCTCTCTCAGTCTCTCTCTCTCTCTCTCCCTCCCTCCCTCCTCCCTCCTCCCTCCCTCCCTCCCTCCTTTCCTCCCTCTCCCTCCCTCCCTCCTTTCCTCCCTCTCCTCCCTCCCTCCTTTCCTCCCTCTCCCTCCCTCCCTCCTTTCCTCCCTCTCTCCCTCCCTCCTTTCCTCCCTCTCCCTCCCTCCCTCTATCTCCTTCTCCTTCTCTCTCCCTCTATCTCCTTCTCCTTTTTCCTGCCTCTCCTCCTCCTTCTCCCTGCTCTCTCTCCTTCTCCTTCTCCCTCCCTCTGTCTCCTTCTCCCTCCCTCTATCTCCTTCTCCTTCTCCATCCCTCTATCTCCTTCTCCTTTTCCCTGCCTCTCTCTCCTTCTCCTTCTCCCTGCCTCTCTCTCCTGTTTCCGCTCCCCCTCTCCTTCTTCTCCTTCTCCCTGCCTCTCTCTATTTCTCCTTCCCCTCCCTCTCTCTCTCCCTTCCTCTCCTTCTCCTTCTCCCCCTCTCTCTCCCAATTTCTCCCTCTCTCTCCCTCTCCTTCTTCCTGCCCCTCTCTCCTTCTCCCTTCCTCTCTCTCCTTCTTCTCCCTTCCTATCCTTCTCCTTCTCCCCCTCTCCCTCCCAATTTCTCCCTCTCCTTCTTCCTGGCCCTCTCTCCTTCTCCCTTCCTCTCTCTCCTTCTTCTCCCTCCCTCTCTCTCTTTCCTTCTCGCTCTTTCTTTCTCTCTCCGTCTCTCCGTACCTCTCTTCCCCCGACTCCCGCCTGACGGCCTCTCGCCCGCAGACCCCTACGTGAAGATCTACCTGCTGTACAACGGGCAGCGCGTCGCCAAGAAGAAGACGCACGTGAAGAAGCGGACGTTGAACCCGGTCTTCAACGAGTCGTTCGTGTTCGACCTGCCGGCGGGCGTGGTCGGCCTCGAGAGTATCAGCCTCGAGTTCCTGCTCCTCGACTGGGATCGCGTCACGAAGAACGAGGTGGGTCCCTGGGTAAGGGGACGACGGGGGTAGGGTTGAAGAGAGAGAGAGAGAGAGGGGTGGGTGGGAAGGAGAGAGAGGAAGGAGGGGAGAGAGAGAGATGGAGGGATGGGGGAGATAGAGAGAGAGAGGAGGAAGGGAGGGGGTGAGAGAGAGAGGGAGGGGGAGAGATAGAGAGAGGGAGGAGGGGGAGAGATAGAGAGAGGGAGGGAGGGGGAGAGATAGAGAGAGGGAGGGAGGGGGAGAGATAGAGAGAGGGAGGGGGGGAGAGATAGAGAGAGGGAGGGAGGGGAGAGAGAGAGGGAGGGAGGGGAGAGATAGAGAGAGAGGGAAGGAGAGATAGAGAGAGGGAGGGAAGGAGAGATAGAGAGAGGGAGGGAAGGAGAGATAGAGAGAGGGAGGGAAGGAGAGATAGAGAGAGGGAGGGAAGGA